GTTCCTGAACTAAATCCTGTACATGTTGCAGCTTCTCTGAAGATAGAGGCCATTGATCAACCCAAACAGGTTTTTCAGTTTTCCATTTTAATTTGAGTGTAGGGCGAGAGCTGCCATCAATGGCCCCAATCAAAAATCTGTGGACAATTTGACACCCCATTGAGCCAATACATCTCTGCCTAAAAGGGAGAGTGAAGTGTGTAGTACGTATGGTTTTACCCATACTTGATGTCCCTCTTGATCCGAAAAAAGAAGAAAATTTTTACTGACCTGAGTCAGACGACTTCCCCCAATGCCTGAAATGGTTGAACCTGTGTTATCTAATTCCCAAGTAGAAGGCCACACTGAAATAGGAAGAATGGTTACATCAGCACCTGTGTCAAGCATCATGGAAATATTGGAAAGAATTAGATCATTGGGTCCGGAAATGTTTACTTTACATTTAGGTCTTTCTACTCCAAAAATTTGACAAAATACAATGTTAGGTATACCTGTGGAACCAAAACCACCTGATCCTCTTTCTTGATCTCCTTTCTTTGGGACACAAACCTTAAAAGGTATAAGCTGTGCAATCATACTCCCTGCTGGAATATGAATTGGTGGTGCAAAAATCTGTACCATAATCCCAATGGGTCCGGTATAATCAGCATCAATACAACCAGGTAGGACAAATATTCCCCTTTTTGAAGCAGAAGAACGTCCAATGAGTAATGCTGATAGTCCATGTCCTAAAGGTCCACTGACAGTAGAAAGGAGGACATGAACATTATGATCATTGATATTTACTGATTCTGCCACGGTCAGATCGACTCCTGCGCTTCTGCAAGTGGCGGATTGCAGTTCGTCCAGGCAGCCAGTGTTTTTGGGATGTTCTGGGGATATTTTTTGGCCGCGTCCCTCGGAGCGCAGCTGTTCCCGTTTCCCGACATGGTAAGGGGGGTTCCATCCTTGCGAAATTTTGAGCGACAATCTGCTGCTTTATGGCCAAATTTTCCACAACGAACACAATTACCATTTAATGCTATTTTTCCTTTGCACGCGTGTGTACAGTGACGCTTAAAATGACCCTCTTGCCCACACTGATAGCACCTTGGTTTAAGGTTTCGATTACCCTGCCCTTGCAGAGAGTTGATCTTTAGAGCAGCAGCCAAAGCATTAGCATGAATTCGTGCTTTAGTTTCTTCTTCTACTAGTGGGGCCCTTGCACAGGTCTCTATCATTTGAGTAATAGTTGCACCAGGGGGTAAGGCAGCTATAAGCTGCTTGCAGGCCGCATTAGCATTTTGGACAGCGATTTCTTTTGTTAAAACAGCCTTAAGATCAGGAGTGACAATAGGTGCATTTTCTATTGCCTCTCGCAGTCTGTCAACAAAACTAAAAAATGCTTCATTTGGTTTTTGCATGATTTTTGTATAAGGCAGTGTCGGTGTGTGAATCTGAGGCAATGCTAGGAAAGCTGCCAAACCAGCATTTTTTGATTGCTGCAAAATCCTAGTATGCAATGCTGCCTGAGCAACCCCATCCCGATAAGCACCTGTTCCCATAAGTGCATCTAAGGGTGCTACCCTCAAGGGGTCGCCCTGTGGCAAATGAATATTTTCCATTAATTTCATTTCCAGTTGTTCCTGCCACTTTGCTAGCCAGAGCATATAAGTGGTGGGTGATAAAATCAGCTCCATGACTGCCCTCACGTCTGTTGGTACCATGTCAGTATACTTTATCAGGGAAGTGACTTGATTTCTTACTAATTTGTTATTATGACCATATTGCATTATTACCTTTTGAATCCCCTGCACTAATTTCCAATCTAGGGGTTCCCAGGTTTGTTGACCCTGTCGCACCACTACAGGAGCTGCAAGTGGGGTAAAGGAAAATTCTCCCTCTATAATGCAATTTTCTGCCAGCCCTCGATAACGCTTTTGAGGATCAAAGTTAGGATCTCTAGGTATAAATTGCATATTTTGCCTTTCCTGTTCAATTTCCCCAAATTTGTGCTCAATAGCATTTAACCCACTCATTATAGACTTATGAGCGTCCTTATAGACCTTTTTAATATCCCGTCTCTTTGATCCCCGATCGAGCCGCTCCATTTGATGCAGGAGGTCTGTCATCGTTTCTCTCTGGCTTCGGAGCTCCCGCCGTAATTCCGAATACGCTGTTGGTCGGCGTTCCTCATTACCACTGTGGAGACCACCGTCCTCCGGGGGTAGAGGTGTAAGACTGCCAAGGGGATCGTTGTCCGTCTCCATTTCTTCTACCACGGGTGTAGTCGGTACGGTCGGAGCGGGCGGTACGATCGGTCCGGTCGGAGCGGTCGGTAAGGGCGGGGCGGTTGGTACGGGCGGGGCGGGCGGTACGGTTGCTGCAGCCTCGCTAGATGTCACTGCAGCCTTGCTAGATGTCGCTGCAGCACTATTGCCCGGTATTTTACTTTCGATTTGTACTTTGGGCAACAGTTTTTCGTTACTGGGGTTCCACGGTGGTAATTCGTCATCTAAACCCCACACTATTTGTTCTGCCTTAGTCATGACAGGACATGTCAACGGAGGATAATTAGGGGGGTCTCCAAGAGGGGGCCAGACACCTTGCGTTTCAGCCGCGCGTTCTGCCTTTGTTTGAGAGCTATCGGGAGGCCGCACCGCGGCTTTAACAGCCGCGGCGAATTGCGCCTCACCATGTAGCCGTTCAATCAGTATTCGCAGAGTACGGTAAGTTTTTGCTAATGTCTTTGCCCCCTTTGTTCCAAGTTGCACCGATTCCCACAAGTCCTCCCCCACCTTTTGCCACGTCTCAGTATTATATATATCTTGCGTGGAGGAGAAAAACCCACGGAGGCGACACCAACATAGTAAATCTATCAGCGCTGAATGCGGCAACTGAGCGTCAGTCTTATCAGCCAATTTCATTAGGCTATCGACAACCGCCTTTTCCACTGCTGACGCAGTTAATCCCATCCTACTTATTTTCCTGACTCACCGGTCAGCCCGTGCACGATCCACCTTTCTTCTGGCTCCCAGCTATAACTCCGCTGGCAGCAGGATCCTCGCAGGCTCTGCAGTCCGATGTTTGATCGTCCCCAAGCACGTACGTCGGGGTTCACCAGATGCTGCAGGCAGGCAAGCGAGCGGGAGAGAACCACACACACATCCACAAGATGCAAGTTCAAATCCAGTTTTATTATTGTTAGGTTGTACAATTTATATTATTCTGAGTCCTGTCCACGCGAACATGAGCACAGCACGCCATCACGATTGGTCAGCACGCGCTGTCCACGCGCCCTAGGTAACCCACCGATTTGTGGTTTTGAAGCCCACATTTGCATACCGTTTCCGTTATCACTGTTTTTCCCATCCTGTTTCTGCTGACTCCTGCATTCTTGCAGCAGCAAGCCGTTTCTTGTTTATCTTACCGTTACCTCCTGACCTTTTCAGAACTCAGAATAATCATGCAGAATTGCTAAGGCCCCAACAGTAGAGTCCACTTTATCAAAATGAATCTAATAAAAATGTTCAAAATTAGTATGATTTTTGTTATCATACTTCTTGATAGTGAAGATTTCCCTTAATTGTCCTTTTAAATTATCATTTTAATTTTGTCGCATCTATATTTAGCACACTAGTTTTACAGAGTGAACCAAAGATATAATTCTTCTGGTTAATTTTTATTTAATCAACTGACTTAATCTAGTTTCCTCTCGCTGACTTCCTTCTGATCTTACTATATTGCTGTGAATCTCAGACATGATAATTGATATAATTTGATTTTAATTCTTCAACAAAAGTCTTTATCTTTAAATTTCTACTGTTTGATAATAATGTAATTAAATGTATTTAATCCCTCAGATGTCTCAGAGACAATTCTAAGGTGATTGTAGAGATAGTTAGCTTCAAACACTTTCACTAAAGAAATCCAGGTTTTGCCTTTAATACATAGAATTGTAGAATATCCTGAGTTGGAAGGAACCCACAAGGATCATCGAAGTCCAACTCCATATAGGAAAAGACATTTGCCCAGTTCAAAGAAAATTATTTCCTGAAAAGCAGTTGGTTAACTCATCTGGATTACAAAGTACATTTTGAATGGAGAAAGGGAACAGAGAGGGTAATCAGGCATTGGAATGGGCTGCCCAGGGAGGTGGTGGATTCTCTGTCCCTGGAGGTATTTAAGAAGAGACTGGATGTGGCCCTTAGTGCCATAGTCTAGTAACTGTGGTGGTACTGGATCAGGGGTTGGACTTGATGATCTCAGAGGTCCTTTCCAACCCATCTGATACTATGCATACTCTTCTGGGTTTTGAAGATATTTCTGTTGAATTAGACACAGTTCCTAGTATCAGAATGATTCAAACTTGTTACTGAGTTTGCTTTGGTCTGTGAAACTCCATCTTTAAAGAAAGCTAGTTAAAAGAATAGATGATTGTTTTAATAAGTAATAATGATAATAGAGCTTATGCAGTGTAACTAGTTAAATAATATAGCTATTATTGACTGAAATCAACTGTTAGATATTGAAGAAAAATGGATTTGGGGTGGGGACTGAACTGAAAAGTAACCTTCAAATCTAGCAAGGGAGGGTATCTGATCTGATGGTTGCACTACAGAAAGACAGTTCACATGATTTTTTCTTTTGTGGAAGTCACCAGATTTTTTTTCATCTAATTCTACTAAAAGTAAAAGCTGTTGATTACTATTGCAAAATTGTTGCTCATTTTAGTGAAAGTATCGTCTTAAATGGAACAAACAAGGATTATCTGTTAATTACATAACATATTTGAACAACTGATTGGCATACAAGAGATGATACATTTTATATAGACAATTAAGGCAGGTAATGTATTTGAAGTCCTACCGGAAGGAAAAAGGGACAGCAAAATGACATTCTAATAAAGTATTCAGGTATCATCTGGAGCTCATGAAGATTTAAGAACAAAAAACCCAAATGCTAAATCTTAAAAATTTCCCCAGTCATTGAACCAATAGGTGGATTTTCTGTTTTGATAGAAACACCACCTCCAGGATATATCAGTGAAGATGGAGAAACAAATGACCAGCAGTTGAACCAAAGCATGGATACAGGTAACAGTATTTTCAAAACTTGGGATTACTGGCTATGATCCCTCTGCATAGCAGCATGAATTCAATCCAAGAGATGATGGCAGTTTTCCTCTGTACAACCCGGTGTTTTCTGTTTAAAATATCACTTTCAGTCTTTAGTGAACAAATTAATATTTTGCTAGGGGAATGCTTTTAAAGCATTCTGTGCCATATTAAGTACATTACATGTTTCATAACAAAAGCATACAGGTCTAATTAAGTCTTCATCAGATTTTAATAGCTGATTGGTTTTAACCATCCCCAACTTTACCTTCTGGAAACAGGTTCGTTGAAACAAAATGTCTATTGGCTGCATTTTGAGAACCTGTCTCTTATATCTGGCACCTTATCACTTCTGCCATTTTTCTAATCAATTCTTGTATGGAAGGGTCTGTGAAAAGAGTAGTAGAAACATTAAGCATTTGTGCCTTTGTATGAAAGAGTTTCTAGATAATGTGTTTGGCTTTAGACTTGGACAAAGCACAGTTAATATGCTGGATAAGAACCTACTGCTATGTGCTGGCAGACTTGAGTGTGTTTGATTCACTAGTGTTAGCAACCTTTTTCAGTTAGTTGGAATCAATTTCACTAGTTTCTGTAAGAACTGCAATATTTTCCCACTATGTTACAACAGGTACCTTAATTTAAAAAGCCTGATATCAGCAATCATTGTAGGAATGGTTCTGTGCAAAGCCTCTTTGTATTTTGTCTACAAGTGCACAAATTGTGTTGGAGAATTCATGTTTTTCTAAATTTTTTCCTTCCTCCTTCCAGGAAAGAATAATCTCAAATGAGGAAATCCAGCTTGTGCTTCTAGAAATAAACCCTCTCCTTTGAGAATAGAGGCAATATCTCACTTGTCTCATCCACTTTTTCTTAGCTTTTTTCCACTGAATTTGGGAAGAAGTCACTACCTTCTCACTGGGCTGAAGCACCTCTCTTATGAAGACAGGCTGAGAGAGTTGGGGTTGTCCAACCTGGAGAAGAGAAGGCTCCAGGGAGACCTTAGAGCACCTTCTAGTACCTAAAGGGGCTACAAGAGAGCTGGAGAGGGACTTTTGACAAGTGCATGAAATGATAGGAGAAGGGGGAATGGCTTCAAACTGACAGAGGGCAGGGTTAGATTAGATATTGGGAAGAAATTCTTTCCTGTGAGGGTGGTTAGGCACTGGCACAGGTTGCCCAGAGAAACTGTGGCTGCCCCATCCCTGGCAGTGTTCAATGCCAGGTTGGATGTGGCTTTGAGCAACCTGGTCTAGTGGAAGGTGTCCCTGCCCATGGCAGGGCAGTTGGAACCAGATGATCTTTAAGGTCCCTTCCAACCCAAACCATTCTATGATTCTATGACAAGCACATAAATAAAGTTATGTCCACAGAGTGTGTATGAAGTGAAAACTCTGCCAAATACAACACTAAGATGTTAATTGAGTCTTTATGAGGAGGGGTAGGTTCTCATGAGTCTGGAAAATTAAATGCAGTCTTAATTCACAATAAGTGTGGGATATGCTGGAAAAGTGGTGTTAGGATTTCTGAGGTTTCTTATTCCAAAGAATTTCAGTGTAAAACTATATCTAGATAATGGTTATACCTACCTATCTGAAATAACAAGAGTCATTTGCTCTGAAACAATCTGTATTGCTTCAACAGGATCTCCAGCAGAGCTGTCTCCTAGTACTCTTTCTCCAGTTAATCATAGCCTGGGTAAGCTGGAAATACTTTTAATTATTTCTCTTATTTCTCTATGTGCGGTGACTCTATATATATTACATTAAAAATGAAAATGTACTTAAAAAATTAAGAATTGTTTTAGGAGACTATTTGGTTGGTTTACTGATGATGAACATAATAGGGTTGGGTTAATAACTTGTTAACTACTATATTTCTGTAACTGTTGAGTTCCTAGCAAAGAGAAAGAATAATATGGTTGTGTGTGCAGGACTAGCATTTGTAAAATACTTTAAAGGATGTTACCCAATCCATAGTACTGCCCAGACTTGCTGACTCCCTTGTATATGTGTTCTGCTGCTCTTCTCATGTACTGTTTGACCTGTAACCACAACACAGTCATTGCTCCCACATTAGTTGCCCACCTACTTTGATCAGGTGCCATTGCTGTGTATTTGTATAAATGCCTCAGGAAGATCATATTCCCCTAGGTTTATTTAAGGAGTGGTGACAGAAAAATGCTGTTCAGAACACTGAGTAAGTAATTAGGGTAGGTAAAAAGGGGAAGCAGTTCAGGAAAAGCTGAAGATGCACAGGGAAGATACTGAGCTCTCATAGGGGAAAGTAAAAGGAGCTTAGAACTGCTTTTAGATAAAGAGACAGTATAATATCTAATGTAAAATGAGGAAACATCATTTTCATATTAATATTTTTTTCCTTTATGTGGTTCGGTGTTTGATAGTTTAATCTTTTCTTAAACATTGCCAAAATGTTTGCAAGTTATTGAAAAGCAACAGAAACGTCTCAATGTCTGGCACTCACAACAGCATTAGCTAAATCATTTTGCTGAGCAAAATGCAAGTACTGAACTAAATGAACTGTGGTCAGATTAGATCACCTCTTCTTCCCCTCCTTCCCTTGTGTGAAAGATTGAATTCCATTCTGTTTACTGGGGTAGATAAAAATGACAACAAGCAAAATATAATTTGAGGACACTACCTCTGTCATTTCTGGGAGAGACAAATAACAGGGAAGATAGATTTATTTTCAGCCTCAAATTCTGTATTAAACTTGTTTTTTAATATTTTTTTTTAGACTTGCAACCAGTTACTTACTCGGAGCCTGCGTTTTGGTGTTCAATAGCATATTATGAATTGAATCAAAGAGTGGGAGAAACCTTCCATGCATCCCAACCTTCCCTGACTGTAGATGGCTTTACAGATCCTTCAAATTCAGAACGATTTTGTCTAGGTTTGCTTTCCAATGTAAACAGAAATGCTACAGTGGAAATGACAAGGCGACATATAGGTAAAGATCTCTGATCTTTAAATATTTAATTTCATTTTAGACATTAAATTATCTGGAATGATCCAGGTAGGATGGACAGATCTGTGTGTTGGGTTCCTTCCACCCTTGTGCAGCCAGCCATAGAACTTCTCTCTCAGAACTTACCAAGGAGAGCTTGGTCTCTCTTACTAAGAACAGAAGTGGAAAGACAGAGAGGTTTCTGCTTCTGAAATTGGGGAGAAATATAGCAGCTTCTGTTACAACAACCTGTTGCAATTGGGAAGAGATGTAGTGATGGTTAGAGCTGAAAGGATCTCCCCTTCTTCTATCAGTAGTTACTAAGTTGGTGGCAGCAGCAGTCACAACTGTCAGGCTGCAAGCAGCACAGGAAGAATCCACTCAATTGTATGGGATTTCTGTTGCTCACATTGCTGTTCTCTGCCTTCTGGAAAAAGATGATGTACCAAAATATCCCAAAGAGCAGGTTTTTGGCTTTCAGGCTCCTTGTTGGACTGCTTTGCCCTAGGTAGCATTTATATTCAGAGTTGCTTATAATTGGAATTTAAGCTTTAATTACAAAATATTAGCATGTTACTTGGTTTATTCTAATTTATAAAATGCAGAATGGACATTGGTAGTACATGAATGCTTTTCTGAAATGGGAAAAGCTGCAGTCGAGATAACATGCTGTTTTGACATGATTAAGATTTTCTTTGTAATAGTTAGTAAAGAATATTGTTTTCCACAATGCAGTGTCTTGGCTTTAGGTTCTTCAATAAACTACCTTTTTTTTCTGGATTCTTTTATTTAGCAAAATTCATGAGGTTTTTTGTTTTTATTTTTAGTAAAAATTTCAACCTCTTTAGTAGAACTTTCTGATTCCCTCTATGCCAAATCCAAATGCTTGTCTAATAAAATTTTAGATGTGCAGAAGCCCTGGTTATGCCTGTGCTGACTGATCAAAATGATCAATGATGAGGGAAAGCACAAATGTAAGGAACTCTCACTTTTTTTAATAGAGCAGCTCACATTTTGTTTGAAAAATTGTTTTAAAGAAAAAGGGGAATAGAAACTATGACCTTTAAAGAACCTGTTAATTATAAATAGTTTTCTTTGAGAGATCAATTGTACATTACTTATATTCTTCTAGAAATAACCCATACAGGTGTTTTCCACTTAAAGAGAGATAACAAAATCACAATTTAAAAGTGAACAATAGGGTTTCTGTCATGGGTTTGCTCTGGGACAATTTTCCCTCACCCCCCACAAACAATTGCTATAAGTTAAGAGAAGGTTTATGCAGACAAAAGAGATCTGATTGAGGAGAATAATATTAGAATTTATTACTAGCAAGATAAAAACTAAAGAACTATATCTACAACAATTCTAATTAGGCAAAAGTATTATGTATTTACAAAAATACCCCTCCCTCCTTTGTATCAGTTCAGGAGGAGAAACAGTCTCTTTCTCCATTTCAGGAGCTACAGGTCTTTTAAATAATTTTGCAGCACTCTAAAGTTCTTCTTCTATTATCTCTAGGACAACAACTCCAATTCGTCGCAGTTGGAACTGTTTCTCTTTTTCTCTCTCTCTTCTATATCGGCCTTAGGGCTGGGCCTACCCTTCTCCTGGGCTAAGACCAGAACCTAGGGGGTTACCCAGGTCTTGTAGGGTCTTCCATGGACTGCAAGGGGACACTTGTCTTACCATGGATCTTCACCACAGAGTCACAGGGGATAATGGCTTTTGAGTCCACCCCTGTTTCCTGTGGGGTCCCTTCCCACAGGAGAACAGTCCTTGATAGACCTCTTCGACGTGGGTCCATCCCTTGGGCAACAGGTCTTCCATTCTCTGCTGTCCCTCAGGGTCACAAATTCAACTGCACCAGCATGGATCCCTCATTCGGATCCAAACATCCTACCCGAGCCATTTTGCTCCAGTGTAGGTCTCTCTCCATGGGCCACAAGTCTCCAGCAGGACTCTGTTTCATTTTAGGCCTCTCCCGAAGTCTCAGCTTCCTCGTGCATCCACTTACTTCTGTGTAAGCTCCTCTATGAGCTGCATGGGGGTCTCCTCACCCCAATAATCTTCCACAGGTGGCAGGGTTTTATTTTTCAGTCTTTTCCCTGATGAAGGGAGAGAGAGAGAGAGAGAGGGGGGGGGAGAGGAGTTCCCCCCCCCTTATCAGCTTTTTCTCTTCTGTCCAGCTACCAGCTTTGACCTTATAGGCCCGTTATGTCTGCCTGGAATTCTTCTGCAGTAGTCTTGTCCAGACAGTCAGTCCTTCTCTAAAGTTTTTTTTCTCTACTCTGTTACAGGAGAGAAGGGGCTTTCAGTGCCATATGTGCCCTGGTCCACTTGGGGCCTGCCACCTCTCCTACATGGCTACTAATTTCATCTGCGGAACCACCTTCTCTTCCATCTTCTTAAATATATAATTGGCAGAGGTGTTACTAAAACTTTTGATTGGTTTTTTCTCCAGAAATCCACCCGGAGAAAACCATTTTCAACCCCAGGGGAATGCTGGTGGGCAAACCCATGACAGTTTCTTATGGGTATTTTTTTGTAATGAAGTCTTGTTGGTTTTGTTAAAGTAGTACAGAGAAGGGGTATCCAGTGGGTTATGAAATAGTGTGGGTGCATGTGAGCAGAGAGTGTCGAAGTGGTATACTGTGTTTTCCTTTTTTGTCATAGTGGTCTGTACTGCTTCACATACAATACTTTAATACTAGCACAAGTTTTAATTCTGTTGAATCTAATCTTTTTATTTTAATTTTGGTATTTCTTTAAGTGAAAAAGTTATTTGGTAGTGAACACTGCTTTCTAACTTGGATTTGGTTACAAACCATTACATGGCTAAAAAATTCTATCTCACTCTTGACCAAAAATTATTCTGCTTCTCCTTCATATATTGTGTGTTTGTGGGAGAAAAATGCAAGTTAATTGTGTTCTGCTCCTGCTACAGGTGTCAGCCCAGATTTGTGGTCCTGTAGATAATTGGTTTCTGTTGTAAAGAAAGAAAAACCTTAGCCTTCTATGAAACAAAACACTCTCGTTTGTTAATCTGCTTGGGTCATATAATAACTAGAGTTCCTTTGAATTCTGCTACAGGAAGGGGAGTACGTCTCTATTACATTGGTGGAGAAGTTTTTGCTGAGTGCTTAAGTGATAGTGCAATTTTTGTTCAGAGCCCCAATTGTAATCAAAGATATGGCTGGCATCCTGCAACTGTGTGCAAAATTCCACCAGGTTAGTAACCTACCAAAGGTCTCATGGGAAAATATTCAGTGAATGTATTCACTGGACATTTGCTTTCCTTTTCATAGTTTCTTCATAGTTTTGGGCTTCTGTGTAGTAAACACAAGTATTCATTGATTGTACTCTTTGGACTTTTTTTTCTTTATAGGATGCAATCTAAAAATCTTTAATAACCAAGAATTTGCTGCTCTTCTGGCTCAATCTGTGAATCAGGGTTTTGAAGCAGTTTATCAGCTTACTAGAATGTGTACCATAAGAATGAGTTTTGTTAAAGGATGGGGAGCTGAATACAGGTAAGAAACTTTTGCTTTTAATTTTAATTTTTCTTCTTTTGCTAATGCACTATTTCTGTCTGGTTTGAAAGTTGTACCTACAGGCTTCTTACTGCTATTGTAGATATACTGTCTGCAAGTTAAACCCATATTTTCCATTTTCTTCCTTATCAGCTATGGAACTTCTAAGTTATAAAGAGCAGAAACTGATTTTAGTATTGCAGTCAACTGTTGACCAAGGAATGTTGCCAAAGTTCCGTATCCTCAGTTGGTCCTGCTTGCTTGCTTGCTTATTATGCCAAAATCACTGACAACATCTAGAAGTTTCACAGTTTGTGCTGTGAGATTATTTGTTGTTTGTTAGATGTACAGTCATTTTGGTCTCTGTCCTGTTCTGTGTGGAGTATAATGAGTTCATTAGGTTGTGGTGCACGATGCAGTTGATAGTATCCTACAGAAAGAATTGGAGTCATTTGGAGTGCATTCTGCAGAATGAAACAACTGGAGAACATACATTTAATGGATGGCAAATATTTTGGAAATTGTAATGGAAAAAACTTTACAGGAGTAAGATGACTGTGTTTATGTAGTAAAACTGCTAAAAACAATTTTTTGAGTGGAAAAAATAGCCTTTTATCTGCTTTTTTAATAGATTCCAATTGTGTTCTATATTTAAACAAATCCCTTAAACCTCTCTAGAAATTGTCCACTGAAAGAATGAAGTTTGACATATCAATATCCTATTGCAATACATAATGATTTTTTAAAAATCCATATAATTTCTGAAGTTGAATAATTGTGTGTAGGTTCCACTGTAAATCCTGGGGGGGTTGTTTCTTTTATCTGCTCTTGAAATATATACATGTAAATAGCAGCATCAGTATGTGGGGGAGGCTTCTCAGCTAAATTAAGCCAATTTTGTAATTAGATGAAATGGGAAGTTTGAGTAATGGAATAAACTGGTACCTCTCTGTTAGCAAGAGGTACGCAAGAAAAAATATGGCTCAAGTTTAAAGAATTATTGGATTTGGCTCCCAAGAAATATGTATACACATAATTAAATACAACATTCAAATCAGACCAGAAGAGAGGCTTAATCAGTCAGATTATATGGAGACAACTTGAAGTGAATGGAGTGTAAGTGCTGAATTAAAACAGTGGGGACCCTTTTGGTAAAGTTGTTTCTAAGGAGGGAGAATATTGGTTGTTAGCAATCTATAAACCTTTCGGAGATCATAGGATTGAAAAAGCTGCAGTGCAAACACTGACAGAACAGCACAGAAACTGATTACTGGCATAATGCTGAACTAGTTTCTTTACATCTCTGTTTAAGATGATCCTAATAAATTATCGATGCACAAAACTTGTAAGTTATCGATGCACAAAACTTGTAAGTTATGCTGCAGTTGTGATTAAAGCAAGAAGAGGTTGGTCCTGCAAACACAACCTTGATTTTAAATGAATGTACTCTAAATTGTCAAAATAGACCAGGAAACACTGTAAAATCCATAATTCTTGTTAAAACTTCTATGCTTCATCATTCTGTCAAAAAGGTTTCTCATAGAACAGGCTTGGGCAAAACCAAAGCATTACTTACATTTTATGTGCATGTGTGTAAACGCACAGGTATGGCAAGGTGGTACATTTTATTTATTTACCAAGTTTATAAGCTTTGTAGACAAAATAGTTCACAGCTTTTTGCTCAACACATGGTGGCTTGGATAGAGGTAGAAGTTCAGATCAGAAGTCAAGTGTTCACATTATCGCAGGAACTATCCAGGTCTAGGATCATCTTCTGAAGAGAGTTCAGTAGAGGTAATTACAGCAAACAGTGATATGTGAACTGGAAATCTGTGGGTAGAAGAGACTGAGTTTTAGCTTTGAAACAGCCATTAGTGACTGTCACTATATTAGCTTCTGCCAGTGGTAGTGCAAAGCCAGGGTCATTGAACAGAACTAGTTTTAAAATTTTGAGGAAGTGTGTTGTGAAACACCTTGTAGGAGAGTTAACAGTGTTGAAATTAATGAACTGAAAGGATTCTAGACTAAATGGAATTATATTTCCTATGGTTTAGATTGTTCTTCTATTGGACCACTTTGTTTGGGCATAGGCATTTGGGTCTAAGATAACAATGTTTTTTAGAGTGCTAAGAGTGCACAGACCCCAACTGCTTGCTTCTCCTAGAAAATGTGAAACCACAGACAACTTTAATCTTCTCACTGGCTTAATCTTTCTACCTTTTCAGTTCCCCTTTTATTTAAACAGATTTCCTTAAAGCGAAGGGTTGTAGTGCCAACAGTAAAAATGAAGGGGCTGGGCGTGTCTGACTAATCTGCTGCCTTTGAATCTTAGTGCCTTCATACTTTGGCTTTGGGATAGCTAGAATTAATAGGAAAACCTGGCTTAACAACTGCAGTCTTGCCAGTCTAGTTTGGAAAAACTCCCATGCCTGGAGTGGGTACAGTGAAATAACAGAATTTCTCAGGCAGAGTATGTCCAATACTGATTTTTTTTACTTTGGAGATGAGAAGGAAATTTTTTGAATAACAGGTCTCTGAAACAAGGATATATAGGAGAGTGAATTAAGCTTTTCTGATTATCAATCCTTCAGCTTTAGTGAGACTTACTATGTGGTGTTTAATTAAGGGTTTCTATTGTGAAAAATTATAGGCAAATTTATATAGAAGACAAAGGAAACAAAATTTTTACTTCAGTTGTTTGTGTGAGGATGTTACAATACAAAACACATGTAGAAGTGTAAGATTACAGAAAATCGGAGATAAAGTTTGGCGTTCCTTTAAAATAGCATCAGTTAGTACAGTATAAACACACAGTGTTTTGACATAGTGTTTCTGACAATATCTATCAGTTTCCTTATACATTTATCTTGTCATTTGCTCCAAAAAAGCCAGACCTTATGATCATCATAGCATTGTGCTGTTTAGCCATGCTGATAGTGCAGAGTCAAGGGTTTCTATTCTGTATTTCTCAGTAGTTGTCTACAAAATTCAAACCTGTTTATGCATGCAGACTCTCTGAAGGTTGCAATGCAACTGCACACAGCTATCTGTGATGGGAACACCACATTGGTTGGACAATCTTTTGAATTTCTTTTTAGAAGTAAGGCTCTTGGTGTGGTACTTGAAGCAAAGGCTGCAGTTCTTATTCTTCAGAGCAGAATATTCTCAACATATTATGGACAAGCATGTAATTATTGATGTGTTTTACAGATGTGGAGTGTTTTGGAGATTTGGGTTTGTTTTTTTTTCTTCAAAGACTGTCTGAAAAAAGTTTAGTAACAGTTATGGTAATGGTTGTGGATTTTTATCTTTCTGTGTACGAGATATAGATGGAAATAGATTTGATCATATGATGAAGAACTTTATGGGAACTAAAGCTGTTTTCTGACTTCCCTATTCTTTATTTTCTAGGCGGCAAACAGTAACAAGCACTCCTTGCTGGATTGAACTTCATCTGAATGGACCTCTACAATGGTTGGACAAAGTATTAACTCAGATGGGCTCCCCTTCAGTACGCTGCTCCAGCATGTCGTAAAACTCCTTCCTCTGTTACCAGTGGGCTAAATATCAAGTCCAATCAACAGACTTAATATAATAGTTCATCTGTCATAGTACTTGTGTGTGGTCCCCATGAACTGTTTACCATCCAAAAATGTTTTGTAAAAAGAAAAACAGCACTTCAGGTCTCATCATTTGAAGCACCTTGTGGATTCTGTTTCCTGTACTCTGATACTAGATGAAAATTTAGTGTATAGAAATGCCTTCTTCAGAAAGAAGATGGAACC